CAGTGCTGGGGGAACTGTTGGACTGTTCTTATGGGGTTTTCCAACACAAACGAGTCTGGCTGCCTGATGCCCTGCAGAATTCCTGCTCCCTGTGCTGAACTGGCCATGCACAGACCTCCCAGAGAGCCCCAGACAGCAGCACTGCAGTGACTCCCAGAGCTCCAGGGCAGGGGACAGAAAATAATCACCATCCCAAGCTGCAGGGGAGGTTGTTTCAATAAAACTTGTTAAACGCTGACCCAAGAATAGCCACAAGGCAGGGAGGAATCAAAGTTCCCAAACAGCAAAACTGCCTCAGGAACCTCAGGGGGAGCACGGAGAGGGTTTAGACACCAAACACGTTTTGCTGAAGGCAGCCAGAAAGCTCTGCAGCAGTCACTCCATGGCTACCTTTGCTCCATCAGAACAAGGAATGAATGCTCCCCCCTTCAGAACAGTGGCACTTGCTCCCAGCTGTGGTGGCCCAAGGCCAGCTTGCTCCTTTCTCCCAGCCTGGCCAGCTCAGATGCCTCCTCCACTGCCAGCAGCAGAGCAGGATGTGTCTCCCAAACACCTCCAGCAGCTGGGGCTGGGCGAGGGCAGGACCACGCAGCTTCAGCTGGACACAAGGACCACAGACACTGGGTAGAGAAAAGTTTTGGGTATGGTGCTTGCGGCTTTGAGACACCAATTCACTTCTTATTCAAAATGCCATTTTTATCTATACCCCAACAGCCTGCTCTTTCAACCCAAAGAAATGTTTAGAGTTGAGCAGCAAACAGATTTGCTCAGGAAAGGACAGGAATGGTAAATACACCCAACCCCCACTTGCCCCAGGTGGTTTCACCTGAAGAGACAACAATAAAAAACTAAATCTTCTCACAAAGGGAAGGAGGGGGTGGACACAGAGAGGCAGAAACACAATAAAATAGAACCTGTGGGTGCCAAATCCAGGTTAGAGAAAGCCATGAGCTGTGGGAACCAACAGCTCCAGCTTGCCCCAGCACCCCACGTGCCTTGTGCTCTGGCTCCAGAGCTGATCCCAGCTTTTCTCAAGTGACCCCACTGGATCAGGGACTGGACCAAGCTCATGATGAAATCAGAGCACCAACAAACTTTCTATTGAATCACGACTTCCAAAAAGGAAGAGGAATGTGTAGGGCTTGGTGAGAGCACAGGGATTCCTGCACGAAGACAAACAACTCCCAAGGCCACTCCAGCTCACCCAGGAAGCACTGCCTGTGGTCAGAGCAAGCCAGGCTTTGCAGCAAGCTTAAAAACAAGATGAAGGTGACTGGAGGTAATTGAGAGGGACAGTGCAAGACTGGAGCCTCAGGGAGAAGGGACAGAGCAGCCACAAGAAGAAAGGAAGCAACGTGAGCCAAAATAAATGGGCAGAAGGCACAGGTGAAGGGAAAAAAAAAAAAAAAGGCAATCAAGCTATAGAGTTTAAGGGAATTATTTAATGGTGATCAAATTGCAACACAATACAAGAGTACAGACAGTGTTAGCATGGATCTAGTCACACACACCTCAGGTGAGAGAGGGGCAGTGAGGAGTGGCTGCAGGGGTGCCTCCTGGAGCCAAGTGCAGTCACTCACACAGGGGTTGCTCTCCACACCTCCCCAGAGCTGCACAGCAGGATTTGTCCTGCTTTTAACCTTCCACACACCCTCAATGCTCTCGTCCCTGTGCACTCCCTGTAGGAAACCATGACTGCCAAACCTCAGCAACTGCAGCTTGTTGCTCCAAGCCTACCCAAAGAGGCACAGAATGGAAGGAAGCAGGAGCTGTGGGGATGGAACTCCATGCCAGCTGTCAGAGAGGGAGGGAGGCTTCCCTAATGCTGCAAGGATGAGAAGAAGACTCTTCTGAGGTTCTGTATTTAATGGGAACAGCCTTCCTGCCACTCAGATACACCTCCAGGCTTTTATTCTCCCAGGAGGTGAATAGTCCCAGGAGTCTCTGCTCTCTTCTCCCAGAGACTTCCAAGCTCTGCCTGGATGCACTGGCATGCCTGAAGCCTTAGCCAAGGGCTCCTCCACCTGGAATGGGAATGCTGAGCACATTCAGAGGTGGTTTGTTGTCCTGGCTCTTTAGAGCAAGGTGGCACATTCAGTACTGCAAGCAGCTTCACCACCTCCCACAGCCCGGGGCTCCTGCCCTGCTCCCCAGCAAAAGCTGCCCAGGCACCAAGAAATGCACCCGTCACTGAACCAGCTTCCCTTGGGAGTCTCCTGTATGCCAGAACTGGGAACAAGAGCAGCTCTAGAGATGTTTTGCTGCTGAAGATGACCAAGACTGTAGAAAACAGAGCCAGGCGTTGCTGTCTGCAAACACCAGGGAAGACCAGGCCTTCAGAGGCAAGGGACAGGGAACAGTGCTACACCCACCAAATCATATCCAACTTAGCCCTGCTGGTTTTCCCACATCATTTGATGGATGCAGACTGAACAGAAGACTCTGAGGACACTTTGGGATGCAGCTTAGTTGGAAACATTGGGATAACATGGTAATAACTAAATTTAAAAATCCCTCTTGCCTTCCTATGACAGAAATGCAGTAGCACACCCCACCACAGAAGCTGGGTGTTTGAAGCACAGTAATCAGGTCTCCAGCACTGCCCAGGATCAGCTCCACCCCACTCTGCAGGTCCATGGAGGTCGGGCTTTGAGCCATGGGAATGTTTAAGCCATCTCCTGCACGCTGACAAGTGGCTGCTCAGTGCTGAGCCAAGAGAGGTTCCAGAAGAGAGGGATCACATTCCTCCTCTGGGTCACCGTGAGCAGTGGACAGGCACTGATGAGCACAAGGAATGTATCCAGGCACAGTGTTCCAGCTTTGCTGCCAGAGCTGGGGGGTTCTAAGCAGCCCAGCACTATCTTTAAATAAACCACACTTAGCACATGCCAGGAAAAAAAGGGAATTGCATGAACAAGCTACATCCACAGAAGGCCCAGCACAAAGAAAGCCAAGGAAAGGGACTCGGGCAACTTAAATTGCTGAATCAAGGTAAAAAACTGGACAGGGATGGAAAAGGTTGATGACACAAGCTGAGGATTCCTAGGAAGGTAGTGACCAGAGCCCCTAGCCTCATGTGCTGTTTGACATTAGAACATACTCAATGCATAGTTTCAAAGGAGCGATTCTAGTCCCAAAAACAGCTAAGCTGGGTCAGGTTTTCAGTTAAATGCTAAAGGCTCCTCCATCTAGTTCACAGTACAATCCCTCAACAACAAATGATCAACCCACAGGAGGGATACAGAGCACATCCTCCCATCTCAAACATCACCAGACCTGCTTTTATTACACCACAACTGTGGCCTTGCCATCAGCAGAAAGGTCAGAACTGTTCAAACACCTCGCTGCAAATGAGCTCATCCCAGCATGAGCAGATATGCTAATGCATCCTCCAAGCTGAAGCTGTTACAGGTTCAGAACTGTTTCAGGGCGTGTCTGGCTTGTTAATGTCCTGTCACCTCATGTTTGTGGCTCCTGGCCCACCAGAAAGAGAAACCATCCTCCTCAGTTCCCTCAGCTGTCACCGCTCCCTCCTCTCTGTCTCCCCTCCCATACAGTCTCTGATCTCTTCCAGGAACTGCCAATTTCCAAAGGCAGCCAGATCTGCCACAAAAATCATTCTTGGGTGGCTCAGTTGCAAAGCAATTAAACAGAATCCCCCCAAACTGTTCACAACCAGTGCAACCCTTCCCTGGACTTCTCAGTGATCCCAAGGAAAAACATGGGAGGGCAACTCTGCCGTGGCCAAGGTGCATTGGAGAGTCCAGCAGGAGCACAAGAGGTTAGGAAAGGCAGGGCCATGGATCCAGGCTGGCACAAAGCCCAGCCACCAGCTCGCGGCGCAGTTTTGATGCCACAGGTATTATCCAGGGCCACAGGCTGCTTCCCAGACACCAACACCCCGTGGGGAACACGAGTGCTGTGAGCTTTGGGTGCAGCCCTGCACACCAGTGTCTCCCCTTCCCCTGTGACCCCGCAGTGTCCCCCAGCCAGGACATGTGGCCACGGGCTCCCTTCCTTCTCCAGAGCAGCTCTGCTCCTCCCTGGAGCCGCAGTCCCCAGGGCAGCGGGGCAGAGCAGCAGGGCCCTCGTGCTCTCTGCAGAGCTGCCTGCAGGAGGGCTCCCACCTCCCTGCAGCGGGACACCGAGAGATGAGACAAGAGGAACAGATTTAGACCAAAAGCAGTGGACATTTATTCCTCGTTTGTGCAAGAGTGTCAAGATGCATTTGGGAATGGCTGGGACAGACCCTGTGGCCGGAGAGCCAGCGGCTCCAGCCTCTCCTGCCCGATGGCTTGGGTTACAATTCTACTAAGAGGAGATAAACTTGCAGACTCACCTACTGTCACACCAACGATGCTGGCAAATACACTTGTATACAAAGAAAAGTTTCAAACTACATTTTTTCACTAGATTCAAGTGAAGACTTTGTTCCAAAAAAAAAAAAAAAAAAAAAAAAAAAAAAAAAAAAAAAAAAAAAAAAAAAAAAAAAAAAAAAAAAAAAAAAAAAAAAAAAAAAGAAAAAAAAAAGACACATACAAGTACAATTTAAAACTGTATGAACATTTGCAAATGTTTAGTGCAAAGTAATTATGTAAAAGCTACATTTTATGAAAGTTTGTGCTGATGTGTTTGGTAGGTTTTTTCTTTTTTTTACCCTTTTACATCCATTTTTTTAGTTACATAAGGTTTCACTTACCTACAGTACATATGCATTGTGTTAGGTCCCATGCAAGTGGGAGTAATACCATCAGGCTTTGTAAAATGTCACTCTGATTCGCATTTAGTAAACTGCTTATTTGGTTTAACAGTCAAGTTCCTGGCACACTACACATCCTGATTTCATCTAAGTGCTCCTGTTTGCCTCTTCAGGTGCCTTGTGTGATGCAAACCAAACTGCTTCACGACTTCAGCCCAAAAAGTTTTTTTTAGAGAAATCCACCGTTAGTTTAAGCCTGTAACAAACTGCTCTGAAAATTAAAAGCCTATTCACACAAAGTTATATGTAATGACTGTAGTAATCAGTTTATTACACAGATTAATTAATTCTTGAACGTACAAGCTCCAGGGGAGCAGTTGGGTCTTTAAATACACACAAGTTTTCTGTCATATGGATTTTTTTTTTTTTTTACCCTTACATCCAGAAAGACCTAAGCAGTTAAAAAACTTAAGAAAAATAAGAGCTATTAGCTAGGTATTAACTGAGAAACCACATACAAACCAAAAAAAGTATGAAGGGAGGGAGAGAGTTGAAACAAATCAACATCACTTGATGCACTAATAGCTCCAATCCATTTAAATGGTGTCCGGTTAAACTTAGACCTTAAACACAGGATGTGGGTACAGATTCTCATTGGTCATAACATTTACCTAAGGTGTAGGTCCTTCAGAATAAAATGAATACAGAAACAGCTTCAAGTTCTTCACCTTGCTTTTCATAACTGTTATGAGTTTAAAAGGATTCCACTTAAAATCCTTCATGGATCAGCAACAGTGTCCCTAGAAAATCTGAAACCCACCAGAACTCTCCCCATTCCCATTTGATTTCCCAATTTAACTCAGCAAGGAATGCTTTTAGGCTCACAAAGTTATGACTGAAGAACCAGCTTTTCACACACACACTTCTCTGCTAGGAGTCAATGTTGGTACGGGGAAATACAGTATTTCTAGTTTGTTGTTCCAAGTATGTACAACACGCAGCACTGCTGTATCAGGTAAACATGTGCACAGGGGAAGATGAGGCGTGGGCTCATAGAAAGCAGTCAAATGGAAATCAAAAGGACTTTCTCTTTCAGAGTTCCCCTATCTTTATTTGTAGAGGTTATCCAATAATTTCTTTAATTACATCGCATACTTCTGAGTCCATTCTCGAGCTATTCTGTTGTACCTGTATGTATAAAAAGAGGATTTATTTAACATGGCATCTGCACAGTATTTCAGCTCCAGCACTCTAGTCTACACATGGCACGAAATCACAGTACTATCATCAGTTTGTAAAATCTAAGAGCAAAATTAAACATTCTGTAAACAGGGGAAACAAGAAAGCCCACAGTGTTTCATGCAAAACAAGTACTTTACAACAGGAATATGAGATCTTTGTGATTGGAGACACAAAATGGAGCTAGAACAGGGCTGAGGGGAAAGGATTTTCAGGAAGGCTTTATCTGTGCCTCCCCCAGCCCCATCTGCTGTGTCCCTGGGGAAACTCTTACTGTAAGGTTTCACTTGGTCATTCTAGAAAATGGGTTAACATGTTCCCCCATCTCCTGCTTTCCCGCAAAGTTAAGCCCAGTACCTGCCATCAACTCATCTGCTAAACCCCAACAGCCTGACTTCTTCCTATACATGTGGCTATTTTGATGACTGTCAGGACACAATGATTTGTCCATCAGAATCTTTTTACTCTGAAGTCACAATGTAATTCAATTCCCAATAAACCTGTAGCTTTTGCACCCAAATACTCTTTACAAGCCAGAGGAAGCTCAGGATGCTTGTGTAAACAAAGCAGTTGTGAGATTAACTGCACTGCTGAAAGCTTCTCTCTGACAACAGAAGGCAAGTTGTTCATGTTCTACGGAATTTGTATGGTAAGACACAGCCTGAAGTTTCCTATAGTTACGTACACCAGGTTGGTTTGGTGTTGGAATTTAGTCTGCAGACAATGTTCTTTAGCTTAAACAATCTGACAATCCACTCATAACTAACTCTCTCCTTCATATCACTGCTCAGGGACTAACCAAGGAGCAAGTCCTTCTGTTTAAACCCAAAATTTATTTCCCTAGTTTTGTGAAAAATAGGAAGGAATTCTGCACACTTAAAAGTGCAGATAATCACTGTTGATTGTGTCTCCAAACGTGCTGCTGGTCTTGCAGCTCTCAAAACAGCATGCATAAACTTCTCTAGCACTGCTCCTCAAGTATACAGCAGAGGAAGCAAATCTGTGGATTAGTTTCCCTTCCCTGATCAGGTCTGGAAGGGAACAGTGAGGTAGGCAGTGTTTACAGCAATAAACTGTTAAAGTGCTTGTTAGCACTGAAATCTCTCTGTGCTTGCTGGTGAGTCCTCCTGCCCCACTTCTACACAATTGGTTCTTCCCTTGTGTTGTAGTAGAGTGAAGGTAAAACAGGAGTTTGCTATTTCTCTGCATGACTCCAGACCCAGAGCTGCCATGGAATATTCTCCCGTTGGAGTAACTCGCTCTCCCTCTGCTGGTTATATGGGATTAAAGCAGCTCAGGCAGTGGCACTGTAAAAATCCCAGGGGAAAAAAAAAAATCTCCAGAAAAAAAATTTCTAGGAAGACCACAGAGCTGAGATTTGCCTTTTTTCACTCTCACTCTTTTCCAATAAGCAGTTCCTCTCAGTTCCCCTTCACTGTGTAAGTGTGGATTCTGCCCTGTCAAATCCCATGGGTTTTGGCTTCCATACTCACTTTTCTCTATCTGTTTTGTAGATCCGTGCAATCTCAGGCACTAAAGGATCATCTGGATTGGGATCACACAACAGAGAACAGATGGACAAAAGTACTGAGGAGAGAAAAGAGACACTGAGTTAGTTCCAGGACAGCTGAGGACACCTGCACCACTCAGCCCATGCACTTCCTTCCCCTCCAGCCAGTAGCATCAGCAGCATTTACGTTTGCCAGGAGCACCAATCCCATGTAATTCAGCTGAGTGACTCTGAACAAGTTCCTTTTACCAGTGAACTACACAACTTTTCACAATCACAGTATCACAGTGAGTAGGTGATAGGTCTATCCAGCAGCAGCCTTAAATCACAAGGCAGAACTGTTCTGCCTGAGCCTGGTACCTGAGAGTCCTCTGGAAAACATCCTTGCTTTTGCAGCTGAAATTCAACTGTTCCCTAAAGCAGCCACCTCACTGTTGGATGACTTGGAGAAGCGTTAATCAAAACTCAAACAGCAGACAAATCCAGCTGAAATGAAGGAAGCAAGGGCTGTTCACAGCTACTTAAGAATCACAGAATGTTTTGGGATAGGAGGGACCTTGAAACTCATCTTGTTCAAACCCCTGCCATGGGCAGGGGCACCTTCTACCAGCACAGGTTGTTCCAAGCCACATCCAACCTCGCCCTGGAGATCTGTTTAAAAATAAGCTGGTTTTGCAGTGAATTGAAAGGCTTAATTATTTTCCAAGCATAAGGAAAGCTGAGATGGATTTAGTGTAGAACAGTATCCACAATGACCCATGAATGCCCAGCTCCTTGCACTTCTATCGACCACAGAGGCTAGAATTGGAGAGTTTCACTATAAATACATGGTGTATGTATCCCAGAAGGCACATCCCGCTCGGCAGAGTGACAACCCTCATCCCTACAAGGAGCCAGGACACTGCTGCAAAGCCACAAATAGCACATGGACATTCCTACACTCACTGCAGAGGAGAAGGGAGGAGAAGGCAGGAAGTTATAAGCAAACATATTGGGACAACACTACACCAGGCATGGCAGGGACATCCTGCCCCACTCCTGAAAATGCCAAACATTCCCTTCTTTCAGCCTGTTTGGATCAAACAGTGCCACTCCATATGTCCCTTCACCAATTGCAGCAAAGCAGTTGTCACAGTGCAGCCTCCAAGCAAGGTGCAGATGACAAGAGTGAGGAGTTTGAAGACACTAAACACAAATCTGCTCCAATTTCCATCACTTGCAGGAGGTAGAGCTAACTATGAAAAATGAAAGGAAACTGCATGCAGCCCATAAAAATAACAAAGGCATTAAGATAGGTTAAAAGAGAGCCACAAAACAGAGATCACAGAATGGCCTGGGTCGGAAGGCCCTTCAAAGTCCATCTCATTCCACTCCCCCTGCCATGGGCAGGGACAATTTCCACTAGCCCAGGCTGCTCTAGACAACATGTGTCAGGCCTTACCACACTCCAGAGAGAAGATGGAAACAGATCTGAGATTAAGCTTTTTTTCAAGTGGGACAAGAGTGAAAGCTTCCCTTAGGTCTGAACTGCTCAAGTTGTTCAGTGTTGTGAGCACCAAAAACCCACAAAGCCCCTTAGTTCAGTTTTCCCACCTGTTTATGTAGACCCTTCACTAAAGAATTATCAATTCCCAGTTCAAAGCTTCTAAAGCAAGTTTGGTAATCAACCAGTCTTGGTTTGGGAGAACATATTTCTGCTTCTAAAAAAAGGAGCAAACCTCTTCTCCCTTTTCCCAGTTTTTCACAGTGCACTTGTGAGAGTTAAGAGCTTAATGATTCTCCACCATAACTGACAAAGAGCCCATTTACTGAGCTCCCTCTCAGCTCAGGGTGTGCAGGAGCTCTGCAGAAGCCACTGCTGTTCCTCAGCAAAGTTGTCAAAGAAGTGTTCTTGGTTCAAAAAGGAGGGGGAGATGTGGGAATCCAGGGCTTCCCTCTGGCTGCCCTGGGACCCTGGCAGTGGTCAGGAACCCCCCTGGACAGAGCCCCAGAGACACTGTCTGTGATCTCTGTCCATGCAAAAGAGTTTTCAATCTTACAGGATGAATTACCAGCTCTGAGTGTTTGATATAAGTAATAATTAAGTGTGGCATGGGTGCAAAAGTAAAATTTAAGGATTCTAGATGAGGGGTCCCAAGGGGACAAGATGGAGGAAATTGGGTGTGCCTTGTCCTTTTTCTCCTTCTTCATGCCCTCCATGTTTCACTGTGGTGTTGGCATTTTTCTGTTGGTTCAGGCTGGGGACACACTGTCCAACGTAGGTGACAGATATTGGCACGTTCTTGTAAATGCAGCCCAGGGAGTTTCTGGTATTTAATGTTTGTAACATCCCACTGAGGGCAGAGCCCCACATGCTGCCCTGCAGGACAGAGCTGGGCAGGGCAGCAGAACATGTGAGAGATAAACAGAATAAACAACCTGGAAACCAGCACAGACCAATTATGGCTTCTGCTTTGGCAGCGGGGCTGACAGAGACTTTCTACAATCTCGGGATCATCAATACCTCTGATTCCAACAACCTCACCCTGCTCAGTCAGAGTAGTTTGAAAACAGCTGTTTCTCCAGCAATTTTGCTGCAGCTCATTTCTTTCTTTCAGACTCCACTGCTCTGCTCACTGAAGTTTCTTCAGCTGTAGGATGAGCAAGGTAGCTTCAACCTGTTCTCTGACTTCACCAGAAGACACAGGAAATCCAATCAAAAGTTTTCTGGTCAACTGTTGTAACTACTCCCTCAAGTTTTATCTTATCACAGTAGTTTAAAAACCCGAGGACTTTTTGGAACAGTGGCTCAGCCTTCATCAGCAGAACCACTCTGCAGGTCTGTGCACTGCTCTCTGCCCACCCTCACACCCCTTCTCCTAATACTCAGTGGTTAACTTTTCAGTATCACTCCACAAACACTGAATAAGAATATACACAATCATTTGGCTTCAAGCTGCACTGCCATATTCAGCTGCTTCGATTTTTCTAAGTCTTCATTATTCCAAATTATTCTCATTACACTCACTCTTGCTGGTGACTTCACATTATTCCCCTTTTATCTGTACAGCCTCAGCAAAAAAAAAAAAAACAACAAAAAAAACCACATTTTTTTAACTAAACTGGTTTAATTTTAATATCCTGCTAAATCCAGCTATTTGTCCAAAATCAATTCTGCAAGTTTCTCCCAAGGCTTTCCACTAGAAGATACTGTACATGTTATAGACCAACATACAGAAAAATCCCTTGGAAAAGGCACCACCTCAAAGTTTCAAGAGCAAGGGTAAAGGGGAAGCAACCCTTACAAATGTCAGCTGTGTATCAGAGTTCTTTGATGCATCAGAGTAATAATGAGTTAAACCAACACCATTCAATAAGGGACTCACCAGGCCACCTCCCTCTGCAAACAAGTATTAGTGCAATGAATTCCACAGCAAAGCCTTGACATTTTCTAGTCAAATGACTACAGCATTACTATCAGATATTAAAAAGAGAATTTCCCAAAAATTTTGGAACCACAGAATCAGGTTGAATAATTACACAAGGCAGGTAAGTGACACTTCACACCTGAACATCCTGCATGGCCATGGGCAAAGCTTGGCAGAATCCCTTCAAGTCCCTCACTGGCAGGGATGTACCTCAAGTGTGCACTCTTTGAATTTAAGTCTGGATTTTTCTCAGTAATAGCAAAATAAATTTTACTTGCCATTGACTCAAGGGATTCATCCCTTGAAATAACTCTGTACAGAATTATTTCTCATAACTCTTAGCCGTCACAGCTGTCCAGCCACTAAGCAACTTAAACCACTGTCACTTTTAAGCTCCTTTTCACTCGAAAATTGGTTTTGCTTTGTTTTATTTCACCAACCAGGCAGCCTACTGACCTCCAACCCTTCAACTACACTCCCCATCCATCTCTGCAGACAACAGATAAAATTTACTCTTCTGTGTGCTTCCTGCTGCCATGGACTAGCACAGACTCAACACGAAGGAGCTGGGAGAACCAAACTTATCAAGCAGAAGGGCTGTTAACAAAGTGCTTCTAGAAAATGGGCTCAGCTTCCCCACAGAGCCATGACAGAAATGCATTCTCATCAGGCACAATGATCACTGAGCACTTAAGACTGCTTGAGTAACATGCAAAATAAGGCCCAGTGTGTAACACTGCACAACTGAGATCCAGGTACCCTCTGCAAGACCTTCCTTTACCAAGCATGTAACACTGAAATCCATGGGCAATCTCTCCAGGCAGCTCCTCTGTGCAGAAAACCATGCCACTGACAACTTGCCAAAAAGACAAGCTCCAGTTCCCCACTGCACAATCCACCTCAGCTGCTGCCCTACTGTGCTCTTGCACCACCAAGGTCAGCCCACCACCCTTGATGGGCAACTGCAGCTTCCTGGTTCTGCCCCACCTTAGACTGAGCAGATGTGGATGCAAATCCCATAGGTAAAGTTCATGGCAGTTCATTCCTCTGCTATGAAACAGCTCAGCCATTAGTCAGGACAATCCATGGAGTCGGCGGCTCTCCACATGTCCTTCCAGCACTAGCCAAATGAGCAGAATGAGCAGTGCAGAACCCAATTTAAAGCCCATCTGGCTACTAGAACATCCAAATTTAGGTGTGTTGAAGTTTCTGGAACTCAGAGGTGAAGACACTCTTAAAAGCAGCTGATCTTCATCTTCCAAAACACAAATTCCAAATCACTTTGTCTGCACAACCTGACTTGAACTAATATCCACCACTCCAGCCATCCCCTTGACACAGAGCACCACTACAGATCCTGCTGCTTAAGTCTAGCTGGAATTCCAAATAAACTTGCTCCAGTAAAGCACTCAACCATGAGGCACTTCAGAGTAAGGAAAAGCAGCTGAGGAGCCATGGAATCTCCAGCTGAATTCACAGAAGGGAGATAAATGGCACTTATTTTTCCAAGGTAATGAGCTAGCCAGAAAAAACAGCTGGTGTGTTCTGATCCAACTGCTGTTTGGTGCAGTTACTGCTCTCCAAAAGGAGCCAGTTTAGAATCCATCTAGGAGGAAAGGCCCATCTCTATGCAGACACAGAGACTGTACCAACAAAATGTTTGTTACAGT